AAAAAAGTGAGAAAAAACTATCTAACCAAAGAAAACGCTAATACAATTTTCTAATGACTTAAATGATATTGTACGGTTATCTCCTTATGACCTCGAACGAAGCAAGTTATATAAACAGATGCATGACAACTGGCCACAATTGGAAGAACAAAGAACTACGAACTATTACATCATGTTACAGGTCAATTAAACATAAACAAACTCCAATCAACTGGAATTTCTTCCCCACAACAGAGGAATCCATTAATGAGATTCACAATAAGATACAAATTTTGGCAAATCACATAAAGAGAGGTTGCCAAAGAAGGGCTAATAATCCAGGTTGAGCAAAGCATAGTTAATTCTTGTTTTAGGATGCTAGAGTCTGCAGAAAACAAAGAAAGTAAAACTTACAGGTGAGAAATTTTATAGTCTGAACTCGTCTCACGTTCGAGGATAAGCTACACCGCCTCTACTTGTCCTTCACCACTTCGAACTGACCTTTCCTCGCTACAATCTACATTATGCAGAGTGCTGGTGGCAACACAACATTCTCATGAAAATCCCATAACCTTCAGTATCATTCACTACACTCCCATTACTTAAAAAAGGAAATTCAGTACACTCCTGATGCTAAAAATGGCAATCTCACAATATAAAGTTGCAGTCATCATTGAAGGTCTTTCAACGCCAATGCTTGATGCTTCCTCACAGTGATATTTATGTGAACCCAGACCCATCCTCCTTATGGACAATCAGCAGACAACAAAAATTATAAGGAATCACAAAGAGGAAAGAAACCAGTATAGATAATTAACCATTTGGATTCATACTTAGAAAACTAACCATCTGGATCCATCGTCTCCCATTAAACTGATTGTCCCATCTTCTGATTCACAACACCGTGATGCTCTGTTTGGAGGCGAACTCCTTCCACCCACCTTTCTCATACTGTCAAAGACCAGCCGTTGAACACCGAGCCACCGAGTATAGAGATGGAGCTCCTGTTCCCTAAAATAGTGCTTCTAGGAACTGAATGACTCCCGCTCTCCAACCCCGCGATAAACCCACCGCTGCCTCCCAAGATTTACAGAACGATCTCTCTTTCGCTCGCCACTTCCCGTCCTCTGCATCCTCTCACCAACTCACAAACCCACACAAATAACTAAACCTTTCCTGTGGCCTGCAACCTCAGCAGTCAACACTAACCGAGAAGGTGAAGAAGAAAGCCAAAAGAAGGGAAAGTCAGGCACCCAAAAAGAACAAATTCATACACAAAAATACCCAATTTCTTCTACCTTGTTCGTGGAGGAGGCCTGCAAAACTGGGATGGCGGCGACCCATGAACCGGGAGATCCTTCGCTCGGCTTGAGGGCATCCCTGCGCGAGACTCCCGCCAATGTTCGAATCATTGTGACACAGCACGAAAACAATCAGAAATAAACTGGAGAATATGATTATGGAAGTATAAATAGCTCCACAGCTGGTCACCGTAGTAACCTTGACGGGATGATAAACTTGCATGCGTGATTTTTTTATGAGCATCCAAATTCAGTGGCCCCAATGGCCCATCCACTCGGCCAAATCACTGGCCCTAGTTATGTAAGCCTGCAATTCAGTAGAATAACTGTTGTAATCATGAGGCATTTGAACTTTACCGATAAATGATGGCCACATAGATTCTCATCATGCTAAGTATACCGATCTAATCATATTTCGTGGCTTGAAATCGACCAACTCTGACCAAACTGAATCTCCTCGTATAAATTTGTAATCTGCAACATCACTTCACTATCGCTGCCATACTACTATACGCAAAATACCCTGAAGGAGTCATTTTTCCGTAGTTCAAATTGAGACTGTGGAGCTGGTCCATGACGTGTGCTAGTTTTCCTGGCAGATTTAAGGTGTAGTATTAGTTCCACTAAAGCAGAAGATGATGCTGATGAACGCCTGGTGTGATCTTTCACCTGCATGAAGCAATGGGATTATAAAGGATAAGAACAACATATAGTTGATGTTAAGCATTGCAAAAGGAAAGAATTATTTCGTAAAATCTCAAACCTAAATTATGTTATCTACCCAAATTGAAGCCTAGATGTACACACAGCCCGCAACCTGTAAAGAGCACTGAACATGCAAACAAAGACGTACAATATAAGTTTTCAATAAAGCAAAAACAAAACTTTTTGTAAGCAACTTTCACCACGCACAGGCAGTATACTATTGGGTACAATGAAAGACCCCATAACAGCAGCAGAAAAATAGTACTTGCGGGTTTCAATCACAAACTCTGAAGACCTAGACCAATAATTATTATCACATGACTACCATTGCATGCTTCAATGAATTTGGTTGCAACCAAAGAGCCTAATCTAATTGACTTCACAACAGACCTCAGTAACTACAATCCAAACAAATTCTTTTTTAAGTGAATGCAAACAAATTCTCAGGACAAAAAAATGCAATTCCTGTTAAATCCCCACACAATTAACCACCCTCACAATTCATAACTTGACAATACACTATAAAAAAAAATAAAAACATGAGCACCATTAACCCTCGGGCCAATCGAGGAATAGAAAGAGACAGCTTCCACGGACCAAGAGAATCAAATACCTCAGCATGGGTGGAAATAAAAGCGAGACAGTTGTTGAAACCGAAGCGCTAGGAGTAGTGCTCCAGCTGCTACCAAATTTGGGACTTCATCAGTAGTTGAAGGTGAAATCAGAAACTCTAAGAACGCGCAGATCTCCTTCAAACCACCTTCATGTTGCTGTCAAGAGGTGCCTTTTTACAGCTTCCCCAAGCTCGCACCAACTATTATACTGTTGCTGTCATTCATTGATTCTACAGGTGGCAGGTACAAATCATTTCAAAGAGAATCCAAATAATGAGTATTAAGAGAAATATAGATTGATGCAACACTATCCAGTTCGAATAGTGGACCCTAGACTCGAATACTTGAGAACTGGAGAAGAGGACCCGTGTATTAGAATAGCAAAGAAAGCAAGACGGAAATGGCAGGTAAAATGATTTTTGGTATGCTAAAATGAAACCACATATAAAAGAACTAAATGCACAACGCAAAAAGCGAACATGGAGACAATTTTTTTTGGGATGAAACGAAAAACAACATTCATTACACACTACCATAAAATAGAAGCATAACATCCAATTTCCATAAACTGAAAGCAGTCATCACAAAACAAACCCAACTTGCAATCCTCGTCCTGGATTTGGAAGGGAGGAAGCAACATGAATGAAATTGTGGAAATTGGAGAGGAAAGAGCACATGTTAACATTAACGGCAGGAGGGAAAACTCTTGAAAGAAAATCCAATGAAACCAGAATGGGAATGAAAAATAATATACTTGTTCCTTGCTCAAGATGTTTCTGAGTTGGGATTGAGAAAATGACATACTTGTTCCTTCCCAAATTTGATTATGAACTGCGACTGAAAAATATGAACATAAATGAGTATGAGAAACAGAGAGAGCTGACTATAACCTACTGCAGCACCGTAGAGTCAAAAGCTCAAAACATCATTTAACAAAGTGTAATAAGCTAAAAAAAAGTCAATTCCAATAGAGGAATAAAGTCACATAGAGCATCAGCAAGCATAGAACTTTAGAGATGTTGCATTAAGACTCAATCTTGTTTCATCTAGAACCAAACATAGAAAGACCCAATCAGGAAAACTTAAAAGAGTGATGGAGAATTCACCTCGTAACCGTAAAGGAAACCTTGTCGAAGTTCTACAATTGCTACAATAAAGGACAGTTATGCAAGTCATTGCGTCCTTTGAAAATGGTTCTTGTTTCTTTCTCTTAATACTCCATTCATCATCCTGCTCGGCCTTCATTGCCATCATCGTCCCTTGTACTAACGAACTGCATCCCTGCTAGGCTCACTGATTCCTCACAACCAAAGATTCCTGTGCATCTCTCCCTCTATTGTAGTTTCATTGGGCTCACTTGATTTTACTGTCATATAATTTTGCCATTCTGCTATAAGAATAAAAACATAGGAACTCTTCGTTAGATTTTGTCATTCTGCAGGAAGAATGTGAGAATCGAAAAAAGTCTAGACTCTGAAATCAAAGCTTTGGTTTCAACTCTGATGAATTTTTTTTTTAAATCAATTGTGCTTCTTGAATCCCCTGGAATTATCCTTTCCTCGCCAGAGCATCGTACAACTCCATGGGAAATTGCTTCGACTCCATTCCTGCAACCCATAAAAGATTTCCGAATCTTGGGTGTAAAAATTAAGAACTTCCCAACATGTAAACTAATCAAAGAGAGAAGAATTTGAGAAATCACACAAACCAAAATATTGATTGGCATGCAATATATGTTCCTCTTTGTTGGCTGAGTACCGCACAAATCAAAGGTGTATAGATGCCATTGTTGTGCATGATAACACTGCGTCAATTGAGTGTGATGGAGATGGTTTGAGCAAAAGAGATTATGTTGGACCTTCCCATGGAAATCTGCAAGAGACAGGTAGTTGAAATTAAAATTCTAACAAAATTGAAATGATACAAAGAAACATGGGAAAATTTGTAAACAACAACACAAAGTTCCACCTCTTGGCATCATCGTCGTCATCAGAGAAGCTTGGATTGGCGGCGGCAGATCCTTTCTCCCTTTCTTCCAACAGAACAAAAAAAAAAAAACACACACACACACACACACACACATCACAAGCCTTAAAATCCCAAACATAGAATCAAATGAACAAAACAAAATCTTGCCTCACCTTTAGATTCAATAATGCGCCTTCTTCTTCTCCCTTCCTCCTTCTCAGATGGATTCTTCTTTTGTCCATGTCTTTTCCTGGTCTTTTCTCAAAATCTACAAACACTCTTCTTTCCTCGTTCCTCTGTTTCTTCTCCGATGGATCCGTCTTTCTATCGACGGCAGAGCAACTACAGCTATGAAAACCCAAATCACATTAGAACCCTTAAAGTCTCCTCTTCTTTCTACCGACAGGGAAGCAAATGCAGCCTACAATACTAAATATTAATCGAATCATAATTATTGATTGGCAACGTGGATTCTTCCCCGCCGGATTCTAATTCTCACATTCTTCTTCTTCGTCAAGACACAGGGGGGAAGGGTGAAGTCGGTGGATCTCTCCAAGTTCGTCGGCAGCGTGCTTTATGGCCGATGAATCCATTAAGAAACCAAGTAAAAACTAAATTCTAAAAGCAACCAAACAATGAAAACAAACAGAGATTAGAAACTAACCATTCAACCAATCAGTTCGTGGACGACCCTTGCCCACGAGCCAAGTTGATCGACGATTTTCCTCCCCTGCCCTTCTTCTCCGCGTTCTTCTTCTCCTTCTTCTTCTCCTTTGTTTTTTTCTTCTTCTTTTCTTTTGAGAGTTGGAGCCGGATGTGGGTGAGAACGTGGAAAAACAAACAATCCAAAATCAGGCGGAGAGCACATATGGATCCATGGCATTCTGTTCCTTCTTCTTCGTGTGAGGAGGAGAGAAAGAGGGAGAAAGAAAGAAGTTTCAGGAAGGTGGAAACTTGCTGTGGGCGAGAGAGAGAGGTGAAACATAGAGAGAAAGAGAAAGCAAATTAAACTCAAAGCTAGGGGAAAAAGTCTTTGTTGTCAGGAAAAGTGATGGGAAGAGGGAAAAAAAGTACAATAGTCTCATCAAGTCCCACCAATGAAAGTGACTTTACCAAACACAAGTGGTAGTTTGTTCTTTTAAATAATTTGATAAAGCGTACCGGGTTTTCAACAAGAAAACCACACCCGCCCAACCCGTCAATTACAAAAGTGGGTAAAAAAACTCTTCCCGACCCAAAAAATTTCAACACTGGATCCAACTCGCTTTGACCGGCTTGATAAAGCGGGGCGAGATTTTTAACAAAATTCACACCCGACCCGTCAAAAGCGGATAAAATTCGTTCCCGACCCAAAATTCGTCAACACAGGGACTGGGTTGAATTAGGTCGAATATAGTTCTTAACAAAAGGCACACCCGACCCAATTCGTTATTTACAAAAGTTGATAAAATTTGTTGCCGACCAAAAGTTCGGCAACACCGAAACGAATCGAATTAGATCGAATACACATGAATTTAGGTACAATTGTAATGAAAAGAATAATTAAAACATAAGATTAATGAATTTATTAAGGAAAAGTAAAAAGTAAACAACAAAAAAATCATTGTTGATGTGACTATAAGTAATAGTGCACATCTTACTTGGTCAAGCAAAAGTATTTAACAAAGCGATCTCGTAGGAAAATAGAAGCAAGGCAAAAGGTAGGAAAGCAACAAAGAAATCGGTAACGACAACTGTAAAGCGGTCCTGAACATAATAATCTTCTGCATATTTCGCTCACAACACAAAAAGCGAAGTCGAGTAAAAATCGGTAACGACAACTGTAAAGCGGTCCTGAACATAATAATCTTCTGCATACTGCGCTCACAACACAAAAAGCGAAGTCGAGTAAAAGGAACATTTTCGTAGGAAAATTGAAGCAAGGCTAAAGGTAGAAAAGCGACAAAGAAATCGGTACCGACAATTGTAAAGCGGTACGAACACAATAATCTTTTGCATGTTGCGTTTACAACACAAAAATCGAAGTTGGACAACAGGCACAAAACGCAACAAACGCGGAAGCAAACGAATCAAACGGTCATAGGAAACAAAATAAAACAAAAAGATAATTTTCTGCATGTTGCGCTTACAACACAAAAAGCGAAGTCGAGCAAAAGGTACGTTTTCGCTGGGAAATCGAAGCAAGGCAAAAGGCAGAAAAGCAACAAAGAAATCGGTAAAGACAATTGTAAAGCGGTCCCGAACATGTTGCGTTTAAAACACTAAAAAGCGAAGTCGAGCAACAGACACAAACGCAACAAACGCGGAAGTAAACGAACAAAACAATAACAGAAAAACAAAACACACTAACAAACTAAAAGACAACAATAAAAAGGAACAAACCAATCATTTGCATGATGTGACTCTAAGTAATAGTAACATGCTACTTGTTCTTTAATAAGAAGAATTTTGTAGAAGCTCAATCCATTTTCAGATCACTTTCAAATCGAATCCCTCTATGTGTAGAATCAACCAGCTGCATAATAGGAACGCACCTCTCTTTGAAATTTTGTATTTTTTCCGATTGCCTACTCCCATCCTGTTGCTGCTCTTATAGATTTGTTCATATGTTTGATCCATCTTCTCATCATTTTTAACCTCTCTTTTTCTCACATAGAGAGATCCACATACCCACTATTTTACTCTACAGGTACACGACTACCCATAATTGAATGTAGATGAATATTGTGTTAGTATGGCAAGTTCAGAAAAAGTTAAACCATCTTTCAATTTCTTTCCCAGGATTCTGTAGTATCTTTTTTTTTTCCGTTGAATCAGGTGCCCTTCTCTTATTAATCAAGAAACCAGATACAACGAAAGGGAGTTATCAAAATGATACCCCCCCAAAAGCCTGCGAAACCACACAACTAACTACTACAGTAGACATATCAGCATCGACTACTAAGTAAAAACATTACAGGACTCCAATACCCTCCATATCCCCCAAAATACACCTTGTTTCTCCAATAATCAAAAGATCCCGCTTGATTAGGGCCTGCAGCTCTGATGCAGAATGTGAGACCCCATCATGCATTCTTCGGCAACGCTCCTTCCAGATCGAGGCCACCAGGAAGCCCCAAACCATCCCTGCAAGAGTACCATTTTTCCTTCTGCAAAGAGAACAAGCAGCAGCCACTGTGGCTGGCCAGGATGCACAGCACATAGGCCAAGAGTATACACCCTGCACCACCTCTCTGGAATACAAGCATTGGAAAAACAGGTGCTCCCGAGATTCCAGCCCTTGCCTGCATAAAACACAGCCAACGTCCACACTTTTCCCCCATTTCACCAACTTATCAGAAGTGACAATACCATCTAGCAAAATAGTCCAAGCAAGAAAACTATTCCTAGGAACAAATCCTTGCCCCCGTACTAATGTGTACCATTCCACCACAGGCCATTTCGGCCTAATTCCCTCCCAAACTACACTTAGCCGAAATCTGGGCATAGGGGTCTGATCCCAAAGAACCACCCCTCCCTGCACAGAGAAATGTTGCTGCATCACCTGTCTTGTTTTCAAAATCCTGCGCCAGGCCCAGGAGCCACGAGAACTGGACTTAATTGTCCATATGCAACCTTGTTTGACCCTGTAGGACTTGATCCATGCTACCCATATAGTCCCACTCTGCATCAGAATCAACCAGAGCATACGAGCGGTGCACGCTTGATTCCATGAAAAAAGCTCTTTCAATCCTAGCCCTCCCTCCTGCTTAGGCCTGGCCATCCTGTCCCATCCTATCTTTGCTTTGCCTTCCTCGTTTCCATGCCATAAGAAAGTGGAGCAGATTTTCTGCACCTGTTTGAGGACCTTCTTAGGGAGCAAGAAGACCTGCATCCAATACTGCAATACCCCCATAAGAACAGAGCTAACTAACTGAAGCCGCCCAGCATAACTGAGCCTCTTTGCTCTCCATGACTTGATTTTGTGGGTGATTTTGGCTACAAGCTTTTCACAATCAGCAGCAGACAGCTTCCCAGTTATCAGTGGAAGGCCTAAGTACCTCACTGGAAGCATCCCCTCCTGAAAGCCAGACACTAGGAGAGCTCTACTTTTAAACATCACTGACAGTCCCCCAAAATAAACCTCACATTTTGCAGGGTTGCATTTCAAACCAGAAAGGGTATAGAACTTAGAGAGAATATCCTGCACCTTTGATATAGCAGTCCCTGACCCTTCTGTAAAGATCAAAAGATCATCAGCAAAACTCAGGTGAGTTAGCTTCACTTTTTTACACTGGGGATGGTAAGGCAGGTGGCCAAGAGCAGCAGATTCATTCAACAGTAAAGATAGTCCCTCCATGGCAATGGTAAAGAGGTAAGGTGCTAATGGATCACCCTGCCTCACACCCTTTTGAGCCCCAAAATATCCACAAAGTCCCCCATTAATGCATATACTAAACTTGGCAGTTTTAACAGTCAACTTTATCCAGTTAATAAAACATGCAGGGAACCCCATAACCTCCATCATCAGAAACAGATAAACCCAATTTACAGAATCAAAGGCTTTCATAAGGTCTACTTTAATAGCACATCGAGAAGATAGATGCATTCTATGATAGCCACTAACTAACTCTTGTGCCACTAATATGTTATCAACTATTCTTCTCCCTTCTATAAAAGCTGATTGGTTTCCACTGATGACTTTAGGAAGTACTCTCTTCAGACGATTAGCCAACACCTTAGCTATAATTTTGTATAAAATATTAATGCAAGATATTGGCCTAAAGTCTTTAAGAGCACAAGCAGAAGGTACCTTAGGCAACAGAGATACAGCAGTAGCATTGACACTACCTGGTAGGCGCCCTGATGAGAAAAAATCCTTCACACCTGCCAGAACATCACTTCTAATAATGGGCCATGCCTTCCTATAGAAACCCGCTGAGAATCCATCAGGGCCAGGGGCCTTGTATGGATTCATGTGAAGAACCACAGTCTGAACTTCATCATCTGTAACAGGAGAAATCAGAGATGCAATCTCCTGAGCCCCAAGTCTGTTATGAACCGGTGACTCCAACCGACCTCTATCAGGATGAATATCAGGATACAGACACCAAAGAGGTTCTTATAGAATGAAACAGCCTCCTCTACAATTTTCTCAACATCTGTAATCTCCTCACCAGTCCCAGTGATCAGCTTGCGGATTGCCCTCTTTGCTGTATGAATCTTAACTGCCTGATGGAAAAACCTTGTACTCTTGTCCCCCAACTCCAAGACATTAACTCTTGATTTCTGCTTGTACAGACACTCCTCAGCTTTCCTGAACTCATCCAGTTTGACCAACAAGTCAGATACCAGAGCAAAAGACTCCTCTGATGGAGATGTGTAAGCCTCAGCCTTGGCATATAGAAAAGCTCGTTCTGCCTCCTTTACCCTTGTATTGATATCCCCAAATTTTTCCTTATTTAGGTGCTTCAATGCTCTCTTTACCATAGTTAGTTTCAATTGAACCCGATGAAGAGGGTGTGCTTCAACCTGTGTCTCCCAAGCTTTGGTAACAAGAGGGAAAAAATCAGGACCGTCAGCCCAAAAATCGAAGTATTTAAAAGGCTTTGGGAGAGATTTTTGAACAGGTTTTGAAGCCACCAGTAGACCACAGTGATCTGAAAAATGCACAGTCAAAACATCAATACGACAGTCTGGGAAGTCATCAAACCACTTCTCATTCACAAAAACTCGATCCAACCTCTTAGCAAGTGGATTACCCACTTGATTATTGGTCCACGTAAACTGAGGACCAACCACCCTATGCTCCACCAATTCCATTGAGATCATCCAATTCCCAAAGTCCCCCATACAACTATTGAAATCACATTGCTTAGACACATCCCCTGGGTTGAGAACTGCATTAAAGTCTCCCCCAACTATCCACGGTTGACTGCTAACCTTGATTCTAGCCAATTCAGTATAAGTGAGTCTCCTTTCCACCTCATCATTG